GGGTCCTGGCCCTCCCCCCGCTGTAGCTCTGCATTTAAAGTGTATTAGGAGCCAGGCAGGCAGCCTGGCTCAGTTCCAGTTTGCACCAAGTCTGGAAGCTCAGGACCCCCGCTCCCAGACAGGGGCTGCTGGTATCCTGCACTGCTGCCTCTTTTTCAGAGGCAACAGCACAGGGCAAAAAGCAGCTGGTCCGCAAGAGGAGCTGGTTTTTAAACGGGCTCCCCTCGCGGTTGCCAGCCCTGCCCCCAGAGACTATCGAACAGTCGACTAACCAATAAGAATTCATGAGATGACTCGACTTTTCAATTAACCGAGATGTAATGTCCCTAGTTTATACCTTGGCAATGCAGAGACTGAAAAGGACGCTGAGCTGTGTAAACGGGCTCCCCTTGCAGCTGCCAGCCCTGCCCCCGGAGACTATCGAACAGTCGACTAACCAATAAGAATTCATGAGATGACTCGACTTTTCAATTAACCGAGATGTAATATCCCCTAGTTTATACCTTGGCAATGCAGAGACTGAAAAGGATGCTAAGCTGTGTTATGCTTCTCGGCCACTAGGTGTCGCCCTGACAGGAAGGAATACTGTGTACAGATGTGGTGGTCTCACCTCAAAAAAGAAATTTTGGCATTAGAAAAGGTTCAGAAAAGGGCAACTAAAATGATTAGGGGTTTGGAACAGGTCCCGTATGAGGAGAGGTTAAAGAGACTGGGACTTCTCAGTTTAGAAAAGAGGAGTGGGCGCCACATTTCAAGAAAGATGTGGAGAAATTGGAAAGGGTGCAGAGAAGAGCGACAAGAATGATTAAAGGTCTAGAGAACATGACCTATGAAGCCAGGCTTCATGAACTGGGCTTGTTTAGTTTGGAAAAAAGAAGATTAAGGGGGGACATGATAGCGGTTTTCAAATATCTAAAAGGGTGTCACAATCATTTTGGTTTCCCTCCGCTGGACCCTCTCCAATGCGTCCACATCCTTTTTGTAGTGGGGGGCCCAGAACTGGATACAATACTCCAGATGCGGCCTCACCAAAGCCGAATAAAGGGGAACAATCACATCTCTGGATCTGCTGGCCATGCTCCTCCCAATGCACCCCAATATTCCATTCGCCTTCTTGGCTACAAGGGCGCCCTGTTGACTGGATGAGATCCAGCTTCTCATCCACTGTAAGCCCCATGACGCGGTGTCCGGTGTGAGCTAAGCATCGAAATGAGGAAACCAGCAGCAATTGCTGCAGACAGAGGGGCAGGGCCAGAGTCACTCTGCTAGGGGCCCGGGACTATTAGATTTTGTGGGTGCCCCAGGCTCTGAAGTGGGGCCAAAAAAGGAGGGGTTCAGAGTGCACCTCTGGTAGCTTGCGGCTCTGAGGAGAGTTCGTGAGCACCCCCAGAGTGAATGCCCGGGTGTGACGGGACGGATCAGCCCCGTACCCTGAGAGCTGAGCCTAATCAGGCCCACCAGGCTGAAGAAGCCCCGCCCCATAGCCCTGCTGGGCATGCTCAGACTGCAGCCCAGGTATAAAAGCCTGGAGGGAGGGTCAGTCTGAGCTGGCAGGCGGAGGGGAAGGACCTCAGGCCTGCGAGGAGCGCACTGGAGGGAGGAAGTGCAGCCCCCGAGGAGTCAGAAGGCCTGTTGGAGCAGGCAGGAAGTGGCCCGGGGAGGGTGCAGGAGTACTGGCTGGCACCGGGGAATTTCAAGTGCGGAGCCGCGGCGCCCCGTCACAATCCCCCTCCTCCTCCAGCAGCCGCCAGCCGGCCCTTTGGCGGACAGCCCACTGGGAAATTCCCGGGATCCCGCCGGGCCAGTCTGCCCCTGGGCACTGGTGTGGCGCCTATTGAAGTGTGGGGCCCGGGGCAGCCGCCCTGCTCGGCCTGCCCTATATCCGCCACTGATTAGAGCTAATTAACAGCACAGCACACTGATTGCAAGGACTGGTGGCCATCAACAAACTTTATAGGGCCGAGGAAAACTTGGCCACAGCCATGAAAAGTGGACAGCCGGCTCACTCAAATCATTCTGGCTGATGGATGTTTCTGGATAAGAGCTCTGGACGAGAGAGGTTCAACCTGTGTTTCGAAATAACGGGCTTGGTCGTGTGGACGTGCCACTTATCGTTTCGAAATAACCCCCCTTAATTTGAAATGATAACTCCCTAGTGTAGATCAGCGCTCCATGAGACATCACTAAATCCTGGTACGAACTTGTTAAAGCACCACTATTTTTTCTAGAAAGGTAATATTCTAAAAGAGCCTGGCAGTTAGAAGTGCTGGTAATTAAGCAAACGCAATGAATCATTGGAACAATTTCCTGAGGGTTGTAATGGATTCTCCATCACTGGCAATTTTTAACTCAAGGCTGGAGTTTTGAAAGGTTGGATTCTAGTTCTAGATCTCCTGAGGTCTCTTCCAACCCTGCGATTCTCTGATTCTATGCCAGAATCTGGGTTCCACAGGGAGGCTACGTCTACACAGCAGCACTATTTCAGGATACCAGAAGTATATAAGTGCATAAGAAGGGGATAGAAATGGTGTCCCTGGCCTCTGTTTGTCAGAGGCTGGAGAGAGATGGCAGGAGACAAATCGCTTGATCGTGGTCTTTGGTCCACCCTCTCTGGGGCACCTGGTGCTGGCCACTGTCGGCAGACAGGATACTGGGCTAGATGGACCTTTGGGCTGGGCTAGAACAGCCGTTCTTATGTTCTTATGAAAGACCTATTCCGCATCTTTTGAGCAAGCCCATTTTTTTCGAAATAGAGCAGGTTTGGTATTCCGACACCCCTGTAAAGTTCGTTCCAGTACGGGATGTTTTGGAATAGTGCTCTATTCTGAAATTAACTCGAGATAAGCTACGCAATTTGCATAGCTCAAATTGCATCGTTTATTTCAAGCTCCGGGTGCAGTGAAGATGCACCCAGAGCGAGAATCGACGAGCACAATGGAGCCTTCCTGGCCTCAAAACTATATAAGTCCAGGTGGAATATAGTTATCCCATCCAAGAAGCCGAAATACACATGTGCCGCCGAAAGGCCAATGGTGATGAAGTAGCACAGAACTCCCTTGCAGCCAATCAGCAGGGAGTCATTTACATATGCAATCTGATTGGCCAATGCTGCTCCGGACTGTAGCAGGAGGTAGTTTAGACAAACAATAAGAGAAACAAATCTAGACTTGCCCTCTGCCTCTTTTCAGCCAATCACAAGGCAGGATTGTGTTTGTCTCTGTGACAAGCAGGTTCCGAGCCGGTGGCTGGCAGAGGCACCGTGGGCACTGCCGTGGGCACACCGCAGAGTGGGAGCCAGGCTGTGCTGGAGGCACCAGGTGACCCGAGGGCGCTAAGGCTGTGAGCGTTGCTGGAAAACGCTGGCTGCATTCAAGGGCCCTTGGCCTTAACCTAAGCCAGGCTCAGCATCTCCCTTGCTTCCCCTCCCTGCAGGCGTCTGGGGGTGGCCGCTGCCCCCGTAACCTGCCACGGCAGCTGGGCGTGGATCTGCTGTGGCCACCGGAGCTGCTGGTGCGAAGCAAGTTGGGAGGGTGCTGAGCTGTGAGGACCAGGTGATGCCAGCTCAAGTCATCGCCTTCATCTGTGTGTGTGTCCTGCGCTGGTGGGGGGGGGAAGCGCCCTCGGAGGGGCTCAGGGCTCCTGATCCCAGAGCTCACGGCCCCCCTGGGGACGGAGCAGGGGGAGGCGGCAGGGAGCAGGGGGGGCTGTAGGCAGAAGGACGGGGACCCTGCAAGACGCCCGTAGGGGGCTCAGTTTGGGGACGCGAACGGCCGGGTGGGATGTGGGTTGGCGATGGGGGAGGTGCCGGCCTTTGCATGTAAACGGGAAACGGGCCGGTGTCAGACGATGACGAGGGTTGGCCGTTGCTGGGGGGAATCAAGGCGGAGATGAGAGATCGTTACAATTAGTGTTACCATGGCGCCTGGGAGCCCACGTCATGGGCCGGCCTCTGTCATGGCTCCGGGGACCATTCACATCCTGCCCATCCCTGGGCAGCCGGCGCCAATTGGGAGATCCGTCTGCATCTTGCCAAGCACCTCCGCTCCGGTTCCTGTCCGCCCGCCTGTCTCTGGGTCTCTCTGTCTGTCTGTTTGTACGGCACCGGGGAGGTTGTGTCGGGGCCAGTTTTGTCTTTATGTCTCTTCTCTCCAGCGTCCCAGCTGACTGCAAACCATGAGGCTTCTCCCCCTGCTGCTTGTGCTGCTCTTAGGGATCTGCCTGGCCCCTGCAGGTGAGATGTCCGTACTGGAGCCGGGTTGTATCGGACCCTAAATATTTCTATTGAGCAGCGAGGCAGGAGGAAGAGGGCCAGCGGTGCAGCAGATCTGGCCCCGAGTTTCACGTTGCATAGCAGGTTCCAATGGAGAATGTAAGTGAAAACTCAAGGAGTGACATCCTGGACCCGCCCTCCCCAACTTAGAGGGAGGCGGGATTCACTCGCTGCACTTATTTCGAGTGGTGATCTGATTCCGCGTGATAATCACTCGTGGTTTGAACCCAGCGTCACAATTTCCTCCCAAAAGCCTTGGAGAAGGAGGTAGGGAGGGAGCTCAGCTGAAAAACCAGCCGCTGGCTCCCCCAGAACCTGAGACAGGCAGGGGGAC